TATAGCTTAAATCATCCCTGACTTGAAACTTTCCTCTCTCCCCAGGGAAAAGGTGAATACACAATGGAGTACAGTAGATACCAGCCCTGCTCTCCCAATACGCAGGAAGAATTAATTAACAAATACCTGGAAGCAACGGGACAACTTCCTGCAAAAAAAGGCAAGGCCAAAAGCTGATTCACCTCCGGGAGAGGTGATTGCAAAGATCCGATGGCAAAATTTGACTGCTCAAAAGCTCTGGTGGTTTATTGCACAAGAAAAATCAGAGGAGGTGGCTGAATTTCATCCTGGATCAATACTTTGACTTTATGAAGTCACTGAGAGACTCTTGCTGAAATGTTTACCTAGACTAGTATGAATTAATCACTGTCTTAATTTAACAATGTATCTTTGTTTTGATTTAAATGCTTTATATTAAAATGATGCTAACTATACTGTCTTTCATTTGCATGTCAGTTTCCACCCTTCCTCTTCCCATTCTGTCTTCACAGTAACTGTCTTGATCCGCCTTGCCTTTCAGGGGTCTTCCCTGTGGCAAGTTTTGCTTAGAACCAAGGGGGACTGGATGTATAAATCCTTTACTTTTTAACCCCCTGGGATTTGGGATTCCTGTCTCCAGTAGGATATGCACCCACAAAAGGAATATTTTTGAACCTGGCCCATTTTGCAGGTCAGAAAATCTGTCTGTCTGTGTGTGTGTGTGTGAGAGAGAGAGAAATAGGGTTCTCCCCCTTGCCCCATACTGTTCCCTTTCTGGTTCCTGTTCAGTACCAATGAACTGGTCAGTGGAACCCAGGACTCTGAGCATGGTAAGATTTCCCAAGCAGTCTTCAGTAAATACCATAGATTGAAAATAAATCCTCAATAACTAAACATAAATCCAAGAAAGCACAGATAATTGGGAGCAATCAGTAGACAGCTTCAGGCAGAATATTGAGAAGAAATATGAAAAGGTACCTTGCTATAACTAAACCTCTTACTTACAAAGAGCCTCGATTTCCCCCTTCCTGGGAATGGGTCCTCCAAGACGGAGTCTCCTGGTGCAGCCTGACTGGGTCTGCCTGTGAGGCCAGTCTGGACCCACCACTCCAGTCCAGGGTCACAGAGGGCCAGAGACGTTCTTGCAGCCCAAGAGTTCCTTTTTTTAACCCAGTCATCGTTCAGGGGTGCAGGCTCAAAGGTTTCCCTCCAAGCCCTCTTTTGACTGATCACTTCAGAAGTCTGGATAACACAGACGGAGGCACCAAGGGAGAAAACCACTCAGGATCCATCGTGCCCTCGACAGCTTGGCCAAATGCTGCAAATTGAAACGGGGGGGGGGGGGTCCCGTTCCCTTGCCCAGCTCAGTCATTCAGCCTGAACCTGTCGCTATTCTTCCCGGGATGTAATTTTAGGACTTAATTGCCCCATCTCGGCAAATAAGCCAGCAGTATTCTGCCAACCTAGCAGTTCGAAAGCAAGAAATTGCAAGTAGATAAATAGGTACCACTTTGGTGGGAAGGTAACAGCATACCGTGCGCCTTGGCGTTTAGTCATGCCAGCCACATGACCACGGAAACGTCTTCGGACAGCACTGGCTCTTCGGCTTGGAAACGGAGATGAGCACTGCAACCCTAGAGTTGGATTCGACTGGTTTTCGACTACATTGGCTCTTGAGTGATATGGAAATGATAGTATTGCAACTGGGCAAATGCCCAGTCATTCAGCCCTTACCCATATGGAACAGCAAAGGCAATAGTTGGTATAATTAAAAAGATTTCTTCTTGTTGTTCAGTCGCACAGTCGAGTCCGACTCTTCGCGACCCTATGGACCAGATCACGCCAGGCCTTCCTGTCTTCCGCCGTCCTCTGAAGTTGGCTCAATTTCATGTTCGTTACATCTATGACACTGTCTAACCATCTCATCCTTTGCCGTCCCCGTCTTCTTTGACCTTCAATCTTTCCCAGCATCAGGGTCTTCTCCAGTGAGTGCTCCCTTCTCATTTGGTGGCCAAAGTATTTGAGCTTCAGTTTCATTATTTTGCCTTCCAGGGAACAGTCAGGGTTAATTTCTTTTAGGATTGACTGATTTGATCTTCTTGCAGTCCAAGGGATTCTCAAGAGTCTTCTCCAGCACCATAGTTCAAAAGAATCTATTCTTCGGTGCTCGGCCTTCGTTATAGTCCGACTCTCGCAGCCATACATGACTACTGGGAATACCATTGCTTTGACCATGCGGACTTTTATTGGCAGGGTGATGTCTCTACTTTTTATCATGCTGTTAAAGTTCGCCATCGCTTTCCTTCCAAGGAGCAGGCGTCTTTTAATTTCATGGCTGCAGTCACAGTCTGCGGTGATCTGGGATCCTAGGAACGTGAAGTTTTTCACTACTTCCACGACTTCCCCTTCTATTTGCCAAGGAGTGATGGGGCCGGATGCCATGATCTTAGTTTTTTTGATGTTGCGCTTCAAGCCCACTTTTGCGCTCTCTTTTACCCTGAGCAAGAGATTCCTTACCTGGAAACCATAGATGACACTGAGCACTGCTGTCAAATAGACTCTTTTTAAATCCAGTTCATTTTGGTGGAAGAAAGAATAAGCTTAGCTTGCCATTTTGCAATGAATGGGACGATAAGTACTTTTTTTTTTTTTAGCTTGCCTGGGTTGTATGGTTGGTCCTCACCAGCGCCATCTAATTTGTACTGGAGAGCGAGGACAGGGATAGCGTGTATCTTCATTGAATCTGGTGCACACAAAAGCTTATACCCAGAATAAAACTTTGTTGGTCTTGAAGGTGCCCCTGGACTCGAACTTTGTTCTGTTGCTTCGGACCAACACGGCTACCCACCTGAATCTATTGACAATGTACAGACAGTGTTGTGTTGAAAGGCCGACATTAAAGTGTGGGAGGCTTTGACTGTTCCTTCAGTTGACTCTGATAATCAGGGAGGGGTGAGAGAGAATCTTTCTGGGCTTTCTAACCTCCTCTTCTTCCTCCTTCAGCTAAACCTCTCCTTACTTTCGTATACTTTGCCCCTTCCCAGCATTAGCCAAGACACTGCAACCAATGTTCCCTCTAAGCTGTGGAGTCTTGTGAGCAAAAATTCTATTTTGTGAGCTACTGGCATTAAAGTTGTGAGCAAGCGATTTGGCTACTGCATCAATTAGTTTGCTCTTGAGCCATCCCTTCCTGAGCTGAGACAAAAATGTGTGAGCCAGAGGCTTAAAAAACTGTGAGCTAGCTCACACTAACTCAGCTTAGAGGGAACACTGACTGCAACTCTGGTAGCTGTTCAAGTATTAACAGTTAACGGGGCAGGAGCAGATGGCTTGCTTTGTATTCACAAGGTGCTAGGACCAAAGATCTGACTCTGTATAAAGGCAGCTTCATACGTTCTTCTAAGATATTGTCATTGATCCGCTGAGGAAGTTAGTCATCACCCTAAAACCTATGGGACTCAACGGAGAGGTTAAGTTCTGTGGATTTCAACAGGGCATAGGCACAATGAATGCAGAAGTTGCCTTCCACATGCAAGGAGGACAGTACACCTTTGGATCCAACCCAGGATGTGCAGCTAAAGGTATGTTACGAAAGACTATGCTGGTTCCCTCTTTTATGAAATAGTACAATTGTACATCTAAAAAAATACCTTCTGCAAAGCTAGGCACTTCAGCAATTTGCTCCCTCTGAGTCCGGCTTATTTAAGATGTCCTAGATACCTTGAGCCCTGACCTGGATAGCCCAAGCTAGCCCAATCTTGTCAGATCTCAGTAGCTAAACAGGGTCATCCCTGGCTAGTATTTGGGTGGGAGACCACCAAGGAAGGCCAGGGTTGTGATGCAGAGGCAGGCAATGGCAAACCACCTCTGAATGTCTCTTGCCTTGAAAACCCTACGGGGTCACCATAAGTCAGCTGTAACCTTTTTTTTGGTATTTTTGCAGTGTGTGCGCGCGCATGCGTGCGCATGCCTGAAAATCACGGCGGCCTCTGACAACTACTGGGGCATAGAGGATGTTCAGAGAAGTGACTTGAGAGCCTGCCTCTGCTTCCCGGCCCTGGTATCCTTGGTGGTCTCCCATCCAAATACTTGCCAGGGTTGTCCCTGTTTAACTTCTGAGATCTGACACGATGGGGCTTGCCTGGGCTACCCAGGTCAGGGCAAGTCAGCTGGGACCTGACGGCACTTTCCACCACCGGATACCTGGAGCAAGGGGTCATTTCCTGCAGGAGTGCACAGGAGCGGAGCTCCGGCAGTAAAGAGCCCAGGGGGCGGGCACATGCAACGAGCCCCGCCCCCTGCTCCCAGCAGCACCGGGCCACAAGGAGCAAGAAGCAGCCAAGTAAGTTGCAGAGCCCACGCTGAGGCGCAGAGCCCGGGGAAGGCCTCTGGAGCCCCACCGCCCGCCTTTCCCAGCACCTGCCTGGCGTGGGGTGGCAGCGGCATCAGGGATGGGGGGGTGGGCCATGGGGAGTGGCGGGGCCTTGATGGAGTCAAGAGAGCTGCGGGGGGTGGCGGGGGCTTGATCGGGGTGGTG